ATTATAACTACTATTAAATTTGTTAAGGTCACCAAAAAGTATCAAATTTTTATCTTAATTTAATTGTTAAAAATAACTAATAACTAATAAAACAAGTAATATTTATGGAAATAGTACCTATTAGCCTTACTTCCTAACAATTAAGAAGAAAATCATTCTAAAACTACGTCGTTTCAATAAATTTTTATTGAAAAAGACTAAACTACTTTATTTTTAAAGCATGCATTAAAATAATTTTTATCTTTTTTCCTCTTAATTTTTTGAAAGTAAGGCGGAGAAGCACTAATCCTAATATTTATTATCTAACAAATTAAAAAAAAATTATAAACAAATATTTTCAAATATCATAATTAATTATTTTAAAAAATAAATTAATTAAATTAATGATAACAACCTCGACCACATAGAGTTATCATATAATACTAAGTTAGTTATCACGTTACATTATAATTGATACTTTGTGACGCAGAACGTGATAATATCCAGAAAATAGAGCAGTGCTAGGGACAATCGCCCCTCGCACTCGCCAATCAACACCTCCCCATCTATTCAGCCACATCACCTTGCTTTTGAAAGATAGATCGGAAACTGTTAAAAAAAATTGTGTAACAATGATCTGCTCCCTCTACAATCTATAATTTATGATTAGGTAAGATCTTAGCAAACTCAAAAGTATCTTCAACTGGGATTTACTTGGTCAGCAATTCCATGGATTGTCAAAGACCATTAGAAATACATAGCATGTTGGCAACCACTAACTGATTAGCATCAGCTAAGCATACTAACAATCTAATATAACAGAAAAATGAAAGTAAATAGCTAATAACCAAGACTTTTGTCTGAAGATTAAAATGGGTAGTCAACAAATTTTCAAGAAAGGAACAGTATTTTATAGTTTATATAATTCCAAGTGAAACCTCTCCTTGACCAAAAAGAGAGAAATCTTATGGAAAAAATCTAATCCCAATATGGGTTAAGAGAAAATGCCTTAGCAAAACCATTTAGGCAATTCTACAAACACATGGTATGCATAGCTTAAAGAGACGCTAATCCCCCAAACTCATCTAATCAAAACTCAAAAATTTATTACCTATTATCTACCAATTCATTTTGAGAAACTTCATCAATAACTTCAATCGCACATATTACACAAACACTACAATTAATCATAATATTTACCTTGGTTAACCATCCATTTAAGTCTAGGAAAGCTTCCTCTGCTTAATTTCTCCATAAATTGAGAGCTCTAGGATATTGATTGGACCAAGGATTGATTTCGTAGATGAAATCGTGGCTTGCTTGCACCACTTGAAACAATTTAGGACCAATTAACTTTCTCAACAAGATTTCGAAAGAAAGGAACAGATAACAATTGCCTAAATAGAAATCCCCATAGAATGAATCCCAAAAGAGATTAAGAGGAAATTCCCAATGGTAGAAATCCCCATGGGAAATCGAAAAGTGAATTGAAAAAGAAAAATTATTTGACACGAGGCACTGGTGGGGTAGCAAGGAAATGAAAGAAAAGAAAGGGGAACGACGAAGGTTGAAAGTTGAAACCGTTCCTATTTTGTTTTGGTTTTTTTTTTTTTTAAAAAAAAAAAAAAGCCAGGTCAGTGGACCACGTGGTAAGCCCACCATTTAAATAAAGATAAAATTAGAATATGAATATTTAATGTATTATTTAAATAAAAAATAAGATAACTAAATCAAATTACTTTTATTTAGGAAAGTAAAACAACTAAATTGAGTTGAAAGATAATCCAAACTACCAAAACACAGAACTCATTTTAAATAGGGTATCTTTTTTGCCCAAAAATTATGTGGTTAATTTAGTTTTATCAACTAATAAACAAAAAAAATCGTCAAAGGAACAATAAACGGCGAAAAAGACATGTGATGTGATTATGTGAACTCAACCGGGTGGGGTAGACATGAACTTTTACTATTTATCCACGTTGGCAGTGGCAGAGCACCAAGCATTCACTAAAATCCAATTGGGCTTGTAGTTGGACAATTCAGATCCAACTCAAAACGGGCGCTTTGTTGTTCAACTTGGGTGGCCCAAAAGGCCGAAAGAGACACAGAAAGGATTTTGATTTCACCTCTCCGATGGTTTCGAGTTGTCGAGAGACTTCGCGAGATAACTATTGTCAAGAATTGGAGAAGAAGAATACATTCGCAGAATCCTCCCTCAGTGGGGAGGATTCCAGTGAAGATTAAGAATTGAATTTTTTTTTAATTTTATTTTATGTGTGTTGGAAACTGACTGACTGGTTTATTTATTTGATTCTTCATGTATTTGCTTTTTTTATTAGTGCATCTTCATCTATTTGCTTTTGTTGCTGAATCAGTTTGATGATGATTTATCATGTGCTTGAGGATGGTGTTCTAGATGGTGTCTATATTTCAACTCCCATATATTATGCCTACCCAACTGAAATCCTGTGACGTGAAATATCTTAGATAAATGCAGGGGCTAGCTTTTACACTGTTGGTAGAGACCCTGCTGGTATGGGCCATGAACTCGAGAAAAGAGATTCACATGATGCTTATTCACGGAACAAGGTATATATAGTTCTGGGACTTTAAACGACTAAATATCTTTCCTGAATAAATTATTTGAGATTTTAGTTACCCCTACAAGATTAAGAAATTAATAATATAAAAAAATACATCATTATAAGAAAGATAGAGTTTACATGATTCAACTTCAATTTAATTAAATCTACATTTAAGAGCACTTAAAAAGAATTTATTATTAAAATAAAAAAAATACAATTTATAAGATTTTAAAAAAATACTCAATCTTTAAATACACATAAATCTTAATTACAATATTTTTAAATATAAGACACATTAAAAAAAATATATTCAATAAAATAATTTTAACCACTCTGTTGCTGACCCTTACCCAAAGCATTCACAAAACTTTTGTATTTTCTAGAGCTCACTTTGCTTTCCATTGCTCACTCGCTTTTTTTTTTTTACCGAATGGCCAAATGGCTTCTATAGCCAAAAATTCACCGCCTAAAATTAATGAAATGGGCTGCAAGGTCAAAATCCAACCATGCACAATAAATGTGCACAATAAATGAATGGCCTTCAAAGTCTCAACCTTTAATTTCATGGATACATGCAGAAGCAAAATCCATTTTTGTCAAGATTTTCGGCTGCACCGTCTTGCCAAATAACCATCACTTTCAACTCTGCACTTTGCATGCATTTTCAATCACTTTTTCACTGCCACAAGATTTTTCATGCAACCAAAATTTAAAGGCTGAAATTTGCATGTTTTTCTCAATCACCATGCAGAACCCACATGTAGCAACACTTTTCTTTAACGTACACATAGTATTCAAGATTTAATGTGTTCATTAAAATTATAACATTATTCTGTCACATAAGTATATGAAATTATTGATGTTGTTAATTGATTTTTATTCATGTTGCTACGTTTGATAAGGAATAAGGGTAACTTCTTCTTCTTTTTTTTTTCTCTTTTGATCAGCAAGAATAAGAGTAATTGATATTATTTGATTCAACAAAAGGTTCAAAACTTCTTCATATTGAGCACCAGGGTACCTTTTCACCACGTACTCCTAAGATTCATGTGGCTTTGATGGTTGGAAAGTGCTCATTGAATGTCACAATAACAACTTATTCATCTTTGCAGCATGTTGCATACTGATTTTTGATAATGCGTTTGATTACATTTAAGCAAAAATTAAACATGTTGAACTATCCATATCAAAAGAATCAAAGTTATTTTATTATATGTTTCCTATATAATCCATACAAGTAGAATCAATGAAGGAAACTGTAAATTGAATTACAGTATATCTATGCAGAAATTTAAAGAATGAATGAATTATAGCCTATACAAACAAAAAGGAGAAATCTGAAACAAATTATAGGATATGCAAGCAGATGTTTAAAGAATGAAAAAAATTTTGAAGCATTACGTCCGTTTCTTCCATTTAAGATAACTGAAAACAGGTCTCTCTGGCACTGGTATGCACTTGACGATCCAGCCAATGGGCCAAGAGACAGCAGCCATAGCAATGCAGGCGCCCCATTGTCCCCGATTCAACCTCTCTGTATCTGCAAACCGCTTTAGAAACTCCACCATCAGCACTTGAAGAACAATGGTCATCCCGACGATCCCTAAAAACGGCTTGTTCTTATGAATACCCTTGAACACATTCTTCTTCTCCAGCTTCCTTGCATTGAATTCATTGAAAACTTGGCAGAGCACAAAAGTGTTGAAGATCAAAGTGTCATTCACTGCTTCAGTCACACTGAAGATTGACTCTCCTCTGAATTGCAGGATCAGGAGTACTGCAACCTGGTAAAAAGCTTGAGCTAGGAGGTTCCTCCACATGATATTGGTAATCAGTGGCTCTATGCGGCCAACAGGTGGCTTCTTCATCAACTCCTTGGTGGGCTTCTCTGTAGCTAGAGCTAGAGCACCCAATGAATCCATGATCAAATTCACCCACAAAAGCTGAACGGCCGTTAAGGGAACTTCTCCTGCAGAAACGGCTGCCACGAAGTTGATCACCAGAGCAGCAACATTTACTGTCAATTGGAATTGAATGAATTTCTGTATGTTAGTGTAAACACATCTGCCCCACTTCAGAACGGTGGCCACAGAAGCGAAATTGTCATCCAAGATGACAATATCGGAGCTCTCTTTTGCAACCTCCGTCCCTTGAATCCCCATTGACAATCCAATGTCAGCTTCTTTGAGTGCTGGAGCATCATTGGTACCATCCCCGGTGACAGCAACTACATGCCCTTTCTGTTTCAAGCATTGCACCATGAGAAGTTTGTCAAAAGGAGACGATCTTGCCATAACGCAAATCTTCTGCACCTTCTCCATCCTCTCTTCTGCTGTATAGTTCCGGAATTCCTCGCCTTCCACAACGGCTCCACTATCCATGTCATGACCTGGCCGAAGAATCCCACATTCAGTGGCAATAGCTTTTGCTGTGAAGACATTGTCGCCAGTAATCATCTTAATGTTCACTCCGGCCGATTGGCAGTCCTCCACTGCATTCTTCACCCCTGGCCGACATGGATCCTTGATACCTACAAGTCCCAACAAGGTCAAGTTTTCCTCTTTAAGCTTTTTCTTCTCTTTGACAATTTCCTCCTCTGTTTCTGCAACTTGTTTGTGAGCAAAAGCAATACACCGGAGGCTGCTTGCCGCCATTCCCTGAATAATTTTCTTGAATTCCATCCTTTCTTCTTCATTGAGATCTTTCATAACTCCTGAAGCATCGTAGTAGCTTGAGCACATAGCCAGAATCATTTCTGCTGCTCCTTTCCAATGAACGTGAACTGTGTTATCTTCTTTCTTCTTGATCAGAACTCCGCTCCGTTTCTTCTCAGAATTGAAAGCTTCCACAAAGAGAACTGTGAAAGTCCTCTTTATTTCCTCCTGATCCATCTTCATGTCTAGAACAGCCCAAGAAAGAATTG